GGACCAGGGAGGATGATTCAACCAGTAGATGTCGCTGAAAACAACAAATCCTCCACACTGTGCCTTTAATGAGCTGCATTGACTGATGCTTTGTCTATTTTTTTATTTTTTAGTTCAGTGTTTTGGCGCCACCTGCTGGCCAATGTTTAACATTGCAGCCACAAGAAATTATGAAGGGAAATGGATCATAAAAACAGCAAAATGGTGCAGATTATTCATTTGATGTAAATTAGCTTATTTTACCAAAACATGATTCTTGTGAACTACGCAAACAAAAACCATAAGCCGTCTCCTTTGTCAGGTGTATTTGAATCCAATCTGCATGTGAATCTCGGTCACATAACTGAGCTCCGCCGCTTCCAGTCACTCCGCTTCACAGAGAGGGGAACGAACACTGAAGCCTCGCTGTCATTTGTCCGTCCGTAGCTGCACCTGGCCGGGGAGAAGATGTCCAAAGCTCAGGTGCTCGTGGAGCTGCTGAGGCAGCATTTGACCGCAGCTGAGGAGGAGATCTGCGGCCTGTTCGAAGCCGCAGTGCAGCCTGCTGGAGGCTCGTGTGGAGCCCAGAAGAACCGGAGTGGGTCGGTGTCTCTGTTTCTAAATACCTGTAACAACCACCGGTCCAGTTTGTAATTATATTTTAGAAAAACAAGAGTTTAAGCCCGAGAGTGCTTCTGTTTTTACCGATTAATTAGTAACTAAAGGTATATCCGGTACAGACCGGATGTTTATCAACACAACTGGCCTTCAAAACAAAATGCATATCTTAAAACTGATCATGTTTAGATTCCAAATGAAATTAAAATCAAATTCTAGATAGGACAAATTACTGATTAATTTCTTAAAACTGTTTTATGAAATCATACTGGCATAAATATCAAATTATCTGTTCAAAAAGGCTCAAAAATATTCGTGCAGAGCAGTGAGAGACAATATTTGTGGTTTGGGGATTTTGAGCAATCATATTTCCTGCCATGGTGAAAACAACAAATATAAAAAGTTTGAAAGCTTGATTTGTGAGTTTGCTTGAACGATTTGGAGTTCATGTAAAATGTCCTGATGGATCTCAATAATCCAGGTAGAAAAAAATCAAAAAGTAAAATTAAGTAGGTCCTCTGGATGGTTCTTCTTTAGTGAAACGTTTCATCTCTCCTCCCAGAGACTTCTTCAGTCTGAGAGTTTCAGGTGAACTCAGCCTTATAAGCTCCGCCTCCACCTGGACAAACAGGTTAGTCATATGCAAAAGAGGGCAATCGACTAACAATCGGCTTGATTATCTACACTCACCGGCCACTTTATTAGGTACACCTGTCC